ATCCCAGGCGTCGTTCTACATGCAGTTGGGAAAAGCTCTTGATTGCACGATTTGAACGTTCCATCAAGCCGTTTCCTTCTGGATGATAGGCGGTCGTGCGGGTCTTCCTAGTACCAAATACTTTGCAGATGTGATTGACAAGTTGGTAGCTCCTTGAGCGGAATGCACTGATTGTGGGGCACCACAGCGAGCAATCCAGTTGCCGATAAATGCGCTAGCCGCTTTGATTGCATCTTTTAGCTGCAAGGGCACCGCTTCACACCATTTTGTAAAACAGTCAGCCATCACTAGGGTGTACTTGTTACCTCATTTTGATATTGGAAGTAGCCCCATTATATCAATGCCGACGCTCTGATTCTGTGCATTGAATAGGCTGGTTACAAGGGATGTTATAGGTGTCTTTTCAAACTGTTTATTTCGGCTACAGAAGTTATAATTTTCGCGGGACTCAGCCATATCACGATGGGGCAACCGCTTTTAAAAGCACTGAGGGATGGCAAATTCCGTTTCGTGCCAGCCAGCATTACCAAACTGGTGATGTATTTGGTTGATCAGCTCCTGTACTTTGACACATTGAACTAGGAGTCATGGGTTCGAATTGGGCTCCACTACGTAGGGAACATCGTCTATTAAGCGAAGTAGACCCCAATTCCCACAGATGCACCGTGAAGCTACTGGAGGGTCTCGCGATTCCTGATGCGTCGGTTTACCGTTTCCACGCTGTTGTCGTTAGTAATTGGGTTGTATGAAAGCGTTCGCCACTTGCAGAGACGTGCGGTCAATTTCCAGTGCTGCGCCGAGTTGCGCATTTACTGTAGGTTCAAAGCTAAGCGGGTGTGAGGAAGCATCGGGATTTGTATTATCGCTTTCCCGGACGATATTCACGAGCGAAGTCAAAATCCTGTAGAAGCTATTGCCAGCGGGAAAGTCAGCTTGCTGCATCAAGAAAATTCTGCAGCCATTGAAACGCTTTGTGATCCATGAGAACCTGGAATTTTCGTCCCAATAAATAATGGCGAAAGAAGCTTACAAAATACATGAAAGCCAACATCTTACAGCGAGTAGTAGAATACCGCGTCTCTGTCTAATCCAGTGTATGGCTAGCGTGTGGCATAACTTGCACTTACCCATCAGGCGTCACCGGTGATAGGAAGGCTCCTATAGCCTGCGCATTAGTATGAGTATGCAGGATGAAAGCACTGCTGCCAGGTGGTGTCTGGAAGTTCTGAGACAAGGGAAGAAGTAAGACATATTTGAGTCGCACTAAATACCACCTAACGCTCATCATTCCAAACAAATTTTCATCCCCTTACCATTAATCGATGAATGGAGGCTGCTGTAATGGCGAAATTGTGAATGAAGCCACGGTAGTATGAAGCAAGCCTCATGAAACTGTGTTTATCTGCTGTCGATTACTGGGTGGGCCAGATCCGAACTGCTTGCACCTTGCTTCTGTCTGTGCGAACTACCTGTGAAGTAATCTCATGATCGAGGAACGTGAAAGACTTCTGCAGGAAATGACGTTTAGAGGCTTTCAGCCTAATGTTACTCTCGTGTAAACATTGAAACACAGCTCGTAGGTTGGTGTGGTGTTTTTTTATAGCGACTGCCCGAACACAATAATTTCGTTCAGGTAGATGAGTCACTGTTTAGAGCACAGGTCTGTAGGTAGTTGGGACATTTGTGGGGATAAATGGAAAGGTTTCGAATTCAAGTGATCCGGTAGGCACGACGAAGAGGGTCTTGGGTTCGTATATGCGCCAATCACCGGAGGCCAGATTTAAACTGGAGAACCACTGGGCTCCACCCAAAGCGTCTAGTGTCATGTCTATTCTAGGCAGTGGAGAGAGCCTCGTTAAGTGAAAGCACAGACGGAGTGAGACATCTTTAACCTCAATAAGGGCAGTGAGAGATGTCTAAGGTGACGCTTATGTGACTTTTTGGCCATCGTCGTGGCTGTTGTATATACTGAATGGACACTCATCTGGGTGGCATCCTAGATGGCAGGTTATCCCCGCCTTTGTCGCATATAGAGTGATCTTACAGATATTACTCCACTAGCTTATCTTATATATAAAAAAATAAAAAAATAGACAAATATGCATATATTGTTATTGACTAATTTAAAAAACGCTTACCCCATGCAAACATTATTTGTAATATTGACGATGCCTGTAAACTGGAGTCCTTCAAATACAGCAAGTGGGAATATATTACTATTAATGATTGTATACTACATCATCGGGAAAGGCCCTTTTGGAAGAGTCAGTAAGACTATAGCCTAACACCAGAACCTAAATTATATACCTCCGCTCCTCGACTGTGGTTTCAAGGAAGCTACCTTGGGTCAAATGGAATTAAGTAAAAGAAGCACGAACGGGTCATGTTGCATGAAGTGCGAAGGGTAGGGTAAAAACTGTTTTCTTCTCGAATCGAGGCAGGATGGAAGAACGCAGTTTGCATACCTACGTAGATTATGGGAGTCATCCATTAATCACCTTGTATAGAAGAATGGTAATTCGTTTCAAATTAGACTAGTTACCTATGGATGAAATAGTAGATCAGCACACAGTAATTGCCAAGTAAACTATTATCATGTATTAAGTAACAAACCAACATATGCTAGACATGTTGTATGATAGTCGCTGTTACAATCAATACACAGATGGCTCATGACCTGGATGCGAATGCAAACAATAACATAATGGGAGAATCAGAAGTTATTAAGATTCGGGCAACATACCAGGGGCATTGCGCACTCCCTGTGGATTATTCTGCATGTCAATTGTATAAATTAGGTACTTGACAGACTTCCAGATTTACAGCCACTTGGTATCAAAGCGCACGAAGTGACTAGGTATTATCAAGGAAGTTGAAGACTTTACAAAGAATGATGGTAAGTTATTCTTATACCTGATTGAAATCTTGAAAATAAACGAATCACGTGGAAACACTGGTCATCAAGCTCAATCCTTGAAGTATCGTGTCTTCAGAAGTAGGCAACAATGTGTAACATAAGTCATGACCACCTTAAAAAATGTTTTCTTTTAGAAGACTGAGAAGCTGAAACATGTGGTATTTCTTGGCATGTCCAATATTTCACTTGAAATCAGAAGACTGCCTCGCTAAAATTGACTAAAACTAATTCTTCTTCAGAGTCTCTGCTGTAATAAGTGTATTAGTATAGGACATCATGAAGGCTTCGTTTGCTGAATTCTTCAAAAAAGTTACGGTTGAAAATGCTGGTATGTGTGGACTTCATTCAACCTAAATGTGAATGAGGATGTTGTGGACAGTTTCAAATTTTTCACTTCTTCTGCAAATCAATTTCTCATTACTTCTATTCATCATAATCTCTTTCATTGTCTTCCTAATACTCCATAACTAAAAATCTTTCCCCTTTTCGCCCAATTCACTCCGTATAAATCATACCACGTCTGCTGCAATCGCTGAAAACCTCCTGACCCTGTGGAATGACTTTCTAAGTACACAAAGCAAAATTAGACATACTATGAAGAACGATTATCTCAAGAAACTTTAGATCATGCACCTAGAAAGGACGTCAGTCACTGATGGTATTCAGGAGCAACAGCAAAGATAAACTTCAAAACCAAGATGTAAAAGTTTCAATTATATTCACGGTCGAAGATGAATATAGGATCTACGAATGGGATTTAAGATGTTTTCTGACACAGTTTACGAAAATCTAACTATGGAATGTAGGGCTTTTAGAGGCTGAAGGTATTAACGTTCATGGATAGTACGGAGTACACTAACGCAAAATCTAATACCCACCACTTCTATCGTACTCGTTCTGCGTAGACCGAAGGCGAAGCAAAACACAGGAATTGATCGACAAATTATGAGTTGTATTTCGGGACCGAATCGGAGTGCGAGATGATTGCTTAACTAGCTAAGGATCGTGCACAAACCAACGAACGTGACAAGACGGCGTACCAAATGGTGTGGAAACTTGAACGGAGGTCTTCAGCTGAACAAGTAGACCTAAACAGTGATGGTCAGCTTCCGATGTTCACTGACGAATGCTTTGGCTAATAATTCTGGGGAATTACTTTTCACTACAGGCTATTTAGAGAGGCGCATCAAGGAGTTACCTAACCATGTATTCCTGACAGCTTAGGAAGGATATTGCATCAGTCTTTCATGAGGATCTGTGACTTTTCTTTCAGTAGCAACGAATATAATATAATGTGTAATGAACTACCGTTTAAGAAAACTTTGTGATGGAGACGTATCACTTCATGGAAAATAACATGACCGTAATAGAGATCGACCCTGCCGCCAAAGTAGACGGCACGCTGGAAAATGGATACTCGTCTGACCTCCCAAAGACATTCTACAGTGTACCATGTGAGTTATTGTCTGGTAGCCTAAAAATGTGTCCATATGAGGGATTTTGTTACAGAGGTCATTCGTGTATGTGCATTCATGCCGAAACTCGGCGTTTGTAGTATAGCCAGCAACTGTTACGTGAGCTCAAGAGTCTAGACAGCATGGACCGAAATTAAAGTGTGTGACTGATGAGACTGAACACTGGAATTTTCGTTCACTACCACGCGGAAACCAGCATGAATAGACCAATTTATATAGCCCTACCTTCAACAAGTAATCAGATATGTTGGATAAACTTAATCATTAATGAATAATCCTGATACTAAGTCAAATGGCCGTATAAAAGTGAAATACGAAAAAGCTAAATTAGTGTAGTAAATGACAGACATTGCAAATTTTAACTTGATAAAACAGCTGTATTCGTATTGTACATGACTCAACTTGTAGTCGATTTAATTATATACATGAGTAACAGAAAGATGATTACAGCCATTACAAACAAAAACCTGGTTCATATTAGCTGTTTTAACTGGATTTTGCAAATAAACTTCTTCACAGCTTTGTTTGACTGGATCAATTGACGGGTGTTAGAAGCTCCGTGGATTTTCATTTGGGTAGTAACAAGGTGAAAATGGCATTTGCCGATGATGAGCTTATGGTAGGCTTATTTTTTAATCCGCTCCTATAAAAATAGGCCAATGCATTTTATTACATAAGGGAGGGTTATCCTCACCACGCCTACACTAAATTAGAGGCTGCTTGTAGAAGATATCCGAACGATCCAGTAATTAAACTTCACGTAGCTTCTTTACGTGTTGTAGAAGGTCCGATCATTCTCCGTTTAATAAAGTTTTCAGGATGTTTGCAAGACGCATTGAAACTTTTCGACGAACTTAGGGAAAAAGATGAATTTATGCTGGCTTCTCTGATTGCGATTGCACATATAAATAAGAAACTGCCCGAGATAGGTATATTAAAAGCATCACATTTTGAAATTTTCAACACTTTTCAGATCAGGATGTGATTAAATGCTGTGAAAATAAAATTCGAGAGCTACGCAGGCACGTGTCTGAAAGAGTAGTTCATGCTAATTTCACATGTGCTAATAACTTCTCTCTAGTCTCTTTATTTTGCTGCGTTGGTACTGTTTTTCTTCCAAAGATATGAGAAAGCCAGAGAATATGTCGAAAGGGCCCTCAAAGGCAATCTGCTCTTCAAGGAGGTAAATAAAACCATTAATTTTTTATGTTCTCAAAATATGTTCAGGCCTTATGTCTCAATGGATGGATTGATTTAATGGGCAGTGATGAAGGTCTACACAAAAAGGCCGTCAAATACTTCGAGGAGTGCACCTAGTAGGGAAACAAAATTATTTTTTATTTAAGTATAGTGACGAAGAAGCTATGTCAGTTGAATGCCTAATGGGTAAAATAAAATATTTCCAGGTGTGCAAGTCATTTTCATCAGCGATGGATGTGATTAACATTGTGATAGTAAACTTTCCAAACTACGTTCCAGCGCTTATTGAAAAGATGAGGCTCCAACTTGTATTTCAGGACTGGGAGCAGGCTTCAGACACAGCTATGAGGTATTCAAATGTATACTATCTCCAAGCTAATTTTCAGGTGTTTAACAGTTGACCCAACATGCATTGAAGCACTGAAACTTCAGCTTTTATCTTCACTTTGTTACGAAGGAAACTACGTTGAGGTAATTTTACTAATATAGTAACACTTTCAACAGGCTTCGAAAAAGCTTGATGAACTTAGTAAGACACTTGAAAAGTCGGAACCGAGGTCCTCAAATCAGTACTCTCTAATTGCGAAGCTTGTTTCAATCACTGTAAGTCTTTATAATACTTTACCTTTAACTAACCTATAGACTCAGTGTGTCTACTCTCCACTCTACATATCTTTACTCATTTATTACAGTTAATTTCAGTTTATAAATAAACACAAATAAATAGAAAGTCAGTATGCTGCAAGATCGAATTTTTCGGAATATCTTTTTTGTGCGTATTTAAACACTGTGATAATAAATGAGATACTGTGGGATTTTTATTTAGAATGCTGTGAAATGAATGTTATGAAATAACCGACTATACACCAACAAACGCCGAAAATATTTGAACTCATTTAGGTATTATTTGTTGAGAAAAACAGAACAATCAACCATATATTCAACTGTATAGCGTAGGAACAAAGGCTTAAATTGCTCGCATTTAACAACCAATAAATGTTGGTACACGAAGGTTTAGAAAATATAAAAAGGATACTAAGGAACATTGATTTTTTCCTGTTTTTATGAATGTTTAAAATCATAACTGTTTGACATTTTTATGAAAGTGTCAGCTACCTACATGGTATAATAATGCAGTTATGAGCAACTTTTTGTGATAAATCGACAGTAAAAAGTTTTTAAATTCAAAACCCTTGCTTTGCCGAGTCACTGAAAAGTATTTCAAATGTCCCGTATAATAGTGGCTGTTAATTTTCACTCATATATTTTAGTGCGGTCGTGATCCCACACTACTACAAAAGGTTCAAGAACTATGTGAACGCGCCGTTGAAATGACTCCCCGAAATCACCATTATTTGATCAACTTGGGCCACATCATTTTACTACAGGGAAAACCAAAGGAAGCTGTTTGCCACTTCCGTAACGCATTGACTCTTTGTGAAACAAGCATTGAAGGCTTAGAAGGTAAGTCAGCTTCAGATGTATCAGTGGTGTAATGATGCACTTAAGTATTTATGTTTTTCAAGAAATTTCGGACGATATTTGGTATGCTTAAGTTTATTTTTTTATCCGGCATTATTTTACAGGTAACTTGGGATTGTAAGATCATTATTTAGTAGAGATTTTATGAATTTAGTTGTTCGGCAATCTCTATAGCCTGAAGTTACATGGCCAGTGTGTAGCAGTGATAGCTAACGTCGACAATCTTGTAATACAAACAATAAATGAGATTTTTTAATCCCATTTCTGGTTAACTGTATGCACTGAAAAATATGAGTTTTCCGTTCTACTTCTTAAAAGAAATTCCACTTTCATGAACTTGAGGAGGATTGCGAGAAAACAGGGGCGTTTATTTTTGCTAATTTTGAGACTTACACTTGTGAATTATCTGTATCTGATTTGAAACACCTTGAGGGTATCTTCTATGCACTTCTTTGGAGTAAAGAATTTTGGCCCTACCTTACCTACCTGCATTTATTTGCAAAACTTTATTCATCATTATGATAGTAGTGCGTTGAAGGATACACAATACAGGTAGAAAATACAGGTAGAAAATGAACAGTTCACGTTATCAGTTGAATAACATTAAACTATAACTACAGTATCTAAACCTTAAGGTTAGTGAACACTGTGAATATATGACCAATGAGCTGTCATTATTCATTCACGAATGTGAAAAATCCCGTCTTTAAATACCAGTAAATAGTTGTACTGGATTATTTTTGTTTGGTGTATAAATTTGGTGAGAATCTGACAAGAATTGAGTTGATATCATTCCACTATGCTTAAAATCCACACCGTTGTGATATTCCCTTAACGTTCAGTAATGTACTGAACCTATTATATTTAGATGGAGTGAATCGTTTGAATATCTTAAGGTTGTGAACTCAGCACTATTAACTATTTTTCGAAGGCTCTCCTGAGGAAAGACTGTAATTTTTCGTCATTCTTACTGAATCTTGTTCATCTTTAATTAGTAAATACAGTTTTAACCATTACATGATAAGTTCGTTAGTCAGTATATATATATATATATATATGTATATATATATCACCGAAAATACCCATTGAGTCATGAAGAAAATAAAAGACGGATTCAGCGAAGAAAATTTTCTTTATCGACGAAATCATCTTCAGAGGCTGTACAATCGTATTTATACTTACAAAAATATATAGTGGTCTATTATTGAGTAATAGGGGATGACGTAATTGATATAATTACTCAGAAGTGGCTTTAGAAGTGAAAATTAGAAGTTGAAAATTACGTGGTACTCAACGGCAAAAAGATAGAAATATATATATATATATATATAAATCTCCAGCCAAGTCATAAAAACATTTGCATTATTTGTATATTGTGGAATAAGGTAGAAAGTAATCGCAGTTCACTAATTACTGAATTAAATTAGATTGTTTCAGATATTGCATAGTTTTTCATGCCATTTACTTTAATGGATCAAATATAACCCAGGAACGATTCAATTTTTTAGCCATTGTCAAATGTCAACTGGTTCAGAACAATTTACAAGAAGCTTCAACACAATTAGAATTCTTGAATGAATTACAACCGACAATTGGAAAGTCAGCGGTATGTAAAATATCAAAACATTTTCCTTCTTTAGAAAAATCATTACTTCCGGTTCATTTCTTGGTGTGAGAATTATAGTTTTAGGCTTTAGTTTAAAATTACATCTACTAACGGAAGTTCTGGTGGATAGATTGTATCACTATTCTCCGAAGAAATAGGCGTTCTAGAGTTTAGTTTTAACGAAAACACATGCAGTTGTCAGGTGGGAGGTTCATTTTAGTTCCTTCTAAACAAAACTTTATCAAAATACATTTAGGACTGTTAATTCTTTTTCTTATTAATAAATAATACGGCAAAATCCACAAATGTCTATCACATTTATGTGACGTTCATAGTTTCTCCAAAACCCTAGAAAGAGACTTCTAAAAAGAATGTTAGTGTGAGCAAGCATTTAACTCGAATCAAACGGAATAGAAGCTTCAGCTCACATGAATCAGACTCATTGGACCATTCAAGGTCAGTGGTGCTTTCGCACTCCACTGTTAGTTAGTGGTGCTTAAAGTTTAACGTGGTCATATTTTACAAGTGAAGAAAGTCGAAAATAATTAAGGTGAATAATACTACTCCATTGAATAATTATAATATCTTCAGATCTACAATTTTAAAATAATAGAACTGATCACAATAACTCAACAAGTATATTTTGTTTAAATGATATCAACATTAGACATATATATGTGTTCTGTTAAATGACTGACATCCTTTGCAGAAAGATTTTTCAAAAATTGGTTGGAGGATTTCATTTTGAGCTGACATCGGTTAGAGAACCATTGGAAAACCATTTAGGAGTACTAGACATCTGTTTCGTCCTAGTTTGGGACTCTTCAGTAGTAAGCACAAGAGTCCCAGACTACAATGAAACAGCTGTCCAGTACTCCTAAGTGGTTTTCCAATGGTTCTCCAACCAATCAAACAAAATCCCTACAAAATCAATACTTGAAAATTAAAGCAAAATCTTATTAACAGTCACTATCATACAGTCAGATCAGTGTTGAATTTAAAGGAACCAATTTAATTCACTGTGACAGAGGGAAATAAACCGCCGTTTTACTATTTCCTTTAAAACACTTAATGATATACTAACCATTTAAGTAGCACAGTACATGTATGACTCAAACTTAGTAATTCTGGTCGTTCAAAAAATTCTGTGTTTTAAGGTTCAATGAACTGATCACATCTAAACGTAGGGTAATCAAAGTCCTCAAGATTTTAAGAATCAGTGTCTACACACTATCATATATATATATATATATATAGTTATTTATATTTTGTAATCTTTAAGATTCTAATCATCTTCACTAAAATTCATTTCATTTTTCTCCTCTATAGTTATTTTTATCGACTGAAGTATCACTCCTTATCCATTCATTACCTCTTAGTTGTTTCTAATAGTGACAACTTGAACTAATGCTACTTTGTGCAAGTGGTATGATAAGCTGAGCAATATTGAGGTTAGGCATCGGTCGAGTGCTAGGTAAGGCGGCGAAATCAATCGACGAGACTGTGAAATTACATCGACTGAGATGGTTAGGACATGTGCTACGTATGCCCAGTCATCGCCTTCCTCGACGGGCAATGTTAGCTGACATAGGGTCAGGCTGGAAAAGAGCTAGCGGCGGTCAAACCAAAACATGGCACCAGTCAGTGAAATCTACAACAGTTAGTCTAAACCATGTAGGAAGGTGTTGACTTCCTGACTGGTTGGGGTCCTCGGGACGGTAAACACCAATGGTTGGAAACAATTGGTGACATGGCTCAAAATCGTTGTCAATGGCTAGCGCAGATGCATCCACTCCTTGTGACTCATGATTTCCAGTGAAACTATATTGTTCTTCGTTCCTTTGTCTCACACCTCTGTTTACTGTCTCTAATATGCATTTCTCCTATTTTCTTTTGTCGCTTTGTGTGCTAAATGGAGTGTGGCGACTTGAACTGCCGCACATATGTGCAAAGTTCTATGTCGAGAACCGACCGATCGACCTGTGCAAAATCCTGCGTCGATTCATTTTCCCTACCTATAAAGAAAAAAAATGCATTATAAAAAAAGACGTAAACAGCAAAGAAAATTTTATTTCGACGATTTATTTTCATAAGCTACTTACCGTACACTCGTAATCATAAGACCAATCAGATACTGGTAATATTTGTCCTCGAAAACGTATTATGTAATGTCAGGTAATGCAATCTAGAAGGGGTGACTAATTGGAAATTAGAAAAGGGGCAGAGGTTGGGATAATGCAATAAGTGTGGGAAAATGACTAATCAATTTAACTGTGTAGAGTGAACAAAAACTAGTAGAAAGACGATATAGTGTTTTTATAAAATCTGTATGAAAACGCAATTTTATTTAATAAACAGTAGTAGAGTGATGACAACATAAGGATGATGAGAATAATAATAATGACAGTAAACTTAAATAATAAAAAGAAGCAAAATTATAGTAAGAACGTTACTCTGGCTTCGGTAGACCGAGTGAATATATGTAGTGCTTTTGAATGCAGTGGTCGGGTTTCAGATCACGAATTGCCAATGATTCAGCTATGTAAAGACGGCGTATTCTTTCGTACGATATGGAGGGACTTTGTGTGCAGCACTGTGAAGCATTCCTGCGGGGATGCTCGATGTGCAGAGTTGACAACGTGTCCGAGGATGGAGCTACTAGTATTATTCCTTTCTCCTCTGGTTAGCCAAACTATACTATACAATTAACTGGAATTGTGTTGTAAATAGTGAAAAAAAAGAACACATTAGTTACTTAGAGTTTTCTTGTCCGTTTATACATGCGATGCCGTCAACAATTCATTATTAAAGTCAATTGGTGGATAGTGACCAGCAGAGGAATCCAGGATGCTCATTTCGTCCAATTTGGGACTCGTTACTGGATGTACCTGCATTTCCCAGTGAGTGATGGCGTTCCCATTGAGGCTCGAACCCAGTGCTCATAATTTCGAATGCCAAGTGTCTTCAAGTTACATGACCGGACATCGTCGAAACATCTGCACTAGGACCCGACGTGTCAACCTGAGACCGAACACTTTGGTTCAATCAATCGATAGGAAAATCTAAATTGAATTAAATAATTTCGTTATTAAGACTAATGTTGAATTCATCTTTAACACTTTGTATACATAGACAACTTGAAACTAAGGTGTTTTACACAGATTTGAGAGATTGTTTTATGGGATCTTCTAATCAGGCGTACTATCTTTAACAGCTATCTGAATTTTCTAATATTTACTGAGATATTTTTTGACTAAAACTTGTTCGTATGTTTATTCAAATCTGCTGATGCACTGTAGTGTATTCAAAACCATCAGATCACTTAAATGATAGCGATTTTTGGTATATATGAATAGAGTTTGTAATAGTGTGATTCCATCATAAAATCAGTGTGTTCTGAAAACACTATCCTAGGTGCCATCTCCATTCATTCTTCATTCAGTAGCATAAAGATCTTTTTAAATCACTGTCTACTTTCTCTTCTTTGTCTTATTTTCACTTTGTTTTTATCCTGTTGGGCTATTTTAAATTGTAATAACTGGAACAAGTTCACCATAGCCTCAAGCACCATGTTCAGTCCACTTGACCCCGTGACAGCAGGTTGACTTATGCAAACTTTATGTGATTAATGCTGCACTTTAGTAATTTAAGATTCTTTTTGTCCAAAGCATTAAACTTGATCACAGTAATATTTTGTTCACAAATTTGTTGGCACTTAGAGAATAAATAAGTTATGAATAGGAATTCAAAATGGCTTGACTCGTAGTTGACATACCCCATATCTCAAGCCATATGTCTTATTGTAATGACAGAATGCAAAGGGCCAGGCAACAGATAGTTTATTGAGAAAATCAACAGATATTTATAGATTTTTATGTACATTGTCGTCAGCGGAGAAGCAATGTTTTCTGATCGGTTGTTTTCTTGCTGAAGGTTATTCTGTATTGCTTGTGAACGTTTCTCAAAAAGTCAAGCCAGATATTTGCAAATCGTATTTGCACACGTTAAGTATGCTGTGATTGGTTGATGAGTTGCTCAAGGTCAAGCTTTGTTATTGTTTATTCTCATGACACTGATTTTGGGGGGGGGTAACATTGACGTAAATTACTCTCCACAACTTTTAGCTTGCAGCCAGCTCTCACCACATTATTAGTCACAGTAATTCAGTTTCAATTACACGACTAAGAAAAACCAGAATTGTGGAATGATTTTTACTCAATACGAGTTTCTATTAATAGCTTGAATCGTGAAATTAGGCATCAAAAACTTTTGATTGAAAGTAATTCGATAAAATTGAGAATTGTGTTTCACCAACTCCTTATTCTATGGTTGCTCTTCCATTCCATTTCATCACTATTATGTCTTTCTAATAGTATATTAGTAATGCAACAGACACTAAGAGTAATGAGATAGGAGGCTGTGTTAAATGACAAAGATTAGAAAAACTAAAGTAAGTTATCGTCAATATGGGATACTTTTTCCTATAATGTGATGGGGACTGTGACCAGAATAAGTCATGATGAACTGTATTAGAACTCACTTGTATGTTATAAGATACACTTGACTTTTAGTTGATAATAAATGAAATATTCTGACAACTTTTATTCATTTGTTTCTCGTTTTACTCGACAGGAAGTAAATTATATGACTGCTGTACTCAGAAGTAAGCAGGGATTACCAATATCGGAAATATTACCGCCTTTAAATGAAGCGATGGAATTACATCTGCGTAAAATTCAAGTAAGTAACCAATTAACTATGTTCAAATATGCATATTAGGTGCACGTTTTGTGTAAATTGCTTAACTACTCTCTAGTTATGAAGGACAGATAAGTATTGTCAACAGAGAACTCAGCATTACTGAGTATTGGTTCAGGTGGCTACACCCTAATATCTACTCATCATGTAGAAGGAGTGATATGATGCTACAAGACGAAGAAAATGCACAGAAATGTGTCTGTACCAATGGTATCTATCATGAGACATGCTACTTATAATCTTCAGTCGTAGGTTTCGGTAGTCAAAGAAACGCCATTTAGCCTGAGACAAACATTTAGCGATTGCATAAATTGATGACATATCTCCAACTGATGATGTTCCATTTTCTTTCTAACTTATCTCGCATCTGATAACACAGGGTTATGATGTAAACACAAATTCTAGAATCTTCAAGCAGTGGAGTCTCATAATTTCCTCGACTGATTCATCGATCTTACCTAAGGACTCTAGACGTAACTCACATACTGCTTACGGTGAGCTTACACCAAATGCAAACAGTTCTGAGAATGCAATGATAACCAAATTTGTGAGATGTCTGTAAGTTCCTTCCAACTTTGATGACTGTTTCACAAACACAGCCTTGGGTAAAGCTCACTGCTAAGCACTATATGGAGATATTAATAAGTAATTAGATATCCTGCCTGTCAGTAAATGGATGATTTTGGCAAAAGTCGAATGAATTTTTTGTATCTGTGCAGAGATTTAACCAAACAAGAAATCATCAGGTTAAATATATCAACCTGGGTACGTGAAATGATGAACGTGATCCACAAAATCACTTTTCAACTTTCTTGGAATACACTCCACCGAAATATCAAAATAGATCTGTGGATATATATTAGTAATAGAGTGGTGTTGCCTTTGTTTTTGTTAACTGGAGACTTCTTATAAGCTTCTGACACACTTGGTAGCAGCAGCTAGCATTAATGTTATCAGCAATAAATTGAAACCTCATTTTAGATAAAAGTACTATTCCTCATAACTTTCCTGATTACCTTTTACTGTGCATATTTAATTACTGAAGTACTATTCTTAGGAAGTCATTCTAACAGTTACGTTATTGCAGATTTTTGCATTAAAAATACTAATTATTCCTAAGGTTGTCTGGTTATGAGTGTATAAAGTAGCGTTTTATTGAACAGAATAACTTCATGAATAGATATTTCCGTCAAACTCCCAGCAAGCCAGTCCAGGATATTAATTCATAAAGCGATTGCATAGACCTCAAGTATGACGCCTGAGCATTTATTAGAACTATACTTTTTTGAAAATCAGCATAATTTTTCTTCAAGAGATTGGGCATTCAATGAATGACTGGATTGATAAATTGAATATAGTTAATTAAGGTTAAAAGAGTGATCAACGAATGAATTTTGCGTGTTATCTTACTGAATCCCTGATGACTTATCAGAAAAGATGTATTCTGGAATTAGTTCTGCTCTCTGAGCTGGTCGGTTTAATTGCGAAGCTTTCGTCGTCCTTCTGGACAACATCTTCAGGGCAAGTCTTAGCATAAATTAACTCATTCGAATTCCAAATCATCCACCTGAGCGACAAATCTTCTCTATTATTTCGAAATATGTATTCTCTTCAATGTTTCAATCGCAGAGGTAACACCATAAATTAAAACGCTAACATTTTCAATATAGTTTCTTACTATTACTCCATATACTTGATCTTATCTCCCCCTATTGTATACAATATAGAATGATATACAATACAGTAAACCTTGAATCTATTGTGATCTACGACATTCATTTTTGAGCCAATTTATGTAGCATACCCAGCCACAAATTTGCCTGCATCCGGTATTTTCTTTGGAAAAAAATTATGTGACTCAGTTTTAAACTACTTATTAGTAGTAGGAAGGCACACGGTAATTTTTTTAAGTGGGATTTTGTTCTATTGAAATATCCTAACAATAATTACCACAACTTTCTATTTTAGGGTGTTAGTTTGAGCCCTGAATATTACGAACGTTTAAATCCAGACTTTCTGGTCCAACTTGTCAGCGAATACTTACTTCATGCTCCACCCCAACCTCCAAATATTGGTAGCACCTTCGGAGTATCAAATGATGCAGTGTGTACAAATCATCAGGATGATTCAGTTCTCATGCGATGTCTGCGTATACTAGAACCGTTAACTTCTGCAGCACCAGGTTTTCAGAAAGGCATATATCTCAAAGCTTATGTCCATTACATGCTGGGAAATACTTCGGTTGCTTTGGCTAATATAAAATCATGCTTGGAAGTTAATCCGTCATTTTTAGAAGGTTATATACTTATGGCACAAGTAAGTTACAGAAATTGATATCTTTTTATGTGACTAGTGGAAGCTAATTAATGCGTTTTCCGCAGTTAAATAAGATTAAAGACTTATTCATTGAATTCGCTGGTATTTAATTAATCCCTAAATGAAGAGTTTAGCAGTAGTTACTAAAATCTGTGATGTAAACTGTCAAATACGTCTTTGAAATTTCGAAAATTCATACTACCTGTGGGATTATAACCTGATTCGTTCAGTGCAGATGTTATGTAGACTGAAATCACCTAAAGTTACTAGAATAATGGCGATTTCGGCATGATTCAAAGGTAGTTAGACAAACCGACGGAATTTGAACAAAGCACGAACAACAAATCTGAGCTCATTTTTCTATGACTTCATGTATTCTTCTCACCTGGTGACGACGTGAACAATACCAAAATTATAAATTAAATTAAAGATCTGAACATACTTGTTTACAATGGTAAGGAGTAATTGATTGTAAATAAGAGTAACATTGGTTAGGAATGATGTAAGAGTGAAAACGATTGACTAATTATAGAAGAATTGCATGACTAAGCTTGGAAACAAAAGAACAGAGTTCAACAGATGTTTTGTGGGTAGAAATAAAGTTTAACTATAAAGAGTATAAAAAGTAATGGGTTACGTAACCACAGAAAAACACGTTTCTACAAAATAGACAAAAAAGGGGGTAGGTTGAGTCATGTTTAGACGAAAACCCCAAGGTTTCTAAACCTGACAGAAGATGACGTAGTGAAATTTGTATGCTTTGATATCACCAGGGCAGTGCAAGATTCACCACTGTCTCTTTCTGCACACATAGATTTTGTTTTAGTCGTTTGATGGCAATTGCCTCAGCAAAATGAAGCAGGCTAGGGTTCTTTTGTCTGTTGATTATTTTGAACGCATTCAGATAGTCCATCACATGGCCAGTGTCCAGTAGATGATGTGCAGTCGCTCTGTTTAATGCTTGTGGGTCCGTAAGTCACAGGTTCTTTGGTATGTGTTCAGAGATGCTCACAATAACTCTTCTCTCTGTTCCTTAAATGTACATGCTTCGGCACTTAGATGTAAACTTGTAGACGCAGTTGGAGGTAACATGAGGTGGGAGTTTGTGCACTTTTGACTGTCTTAAACAACTGGTCGTTTGATGAACACATACAAGCTTGAAGGCTGGATATGTTCGTTTCAGGGCAGCGTTCAGTCTGCACCTTATTCTACTACCAGTATCGTCAACTTTGAAGGCAAGCTGTAGAAGGATCGATAAATATGGAAAACCTAGTGTTGACAAGGTGAAGTAGAACACAGTAGAGAAAACGCCTTTAAAGCTGACGAAACTGTTAGTAGAATAAGATGCAGACTGAACGCAGTTCTGAGAAGAAGATATCCAGTTGCCAAGCTTGAATGTATGCATTTATCTTATCTGGTCACACAGTAACTCAAATGTGTTTACAAGTCTTCTTACATAAGTGTAGATGCATACCAATTCTAATCAACAATTAATTTTTAAAAATATGTAAAACTTATTGAAGGTATCATTTAACAGTCACTTAAATCAACCATAATCAGTGAATTTCATATGTGTATACTAAATGAGTGTCTACTAAGTTTTCAGAAAAACGTCCTCTCAAGAAAACTGAGTCACTTGTGAAGTTGAATAGAAGTATCAGTTAATTAATACACAAGATAGGCTGTTATAAGACATAAGATCTCTTAGTATCAAACATCTAGTTATCTCGATTTCAGATTTCATAAATGAAGATTGAATAATGAGTGAAATTGGTTTCATATTCGCAATCTGAATATACGTGAATTATGAAAATTTGCCTCAGAATCTCCAAAAAATTACACACTGTTTGGAAAGACAGACAGACAGATATAATGAGAGAAGCATTCAACAATAAATAAACGACAACCTGTTGGTTTTCGCCGGCAGTTCTTCAGGGTTATATGACATAAGACATAATCATCCGCGCAGTACAGATCTTCTACAGTCTTCTTATTAGTCCAACGTATTCCTGTCTTCTCGCTCCCCATAGTGATCCAGTTCACCCCAGTCAGGAATATAATCAGTGGTAGTTGGCAGACTTCTCTTACTCCTGCCTTAACTTCAAAGCTTTCGCCGAACGTCCAGTTGTAAATCACCTAGCATACTGCGTCATCATATAGCCGTTGAATGAAACTCATAAAGGTTTGGGGCACTAAACTTCGTCGTGTTGACTCAATTTCCAGATTAGTTGAAGGTCAACGCCGCCAAAGCAGTTTGTAGAGTCGATGAAATTGAGGCTGACTGCCACTCTAAGCTGTGTTCGATGATGATGCGTTGAGTTGCAATTGGATCCACAAATGATTTTTTCCCTGAATCCAGCTAATTCTAAGCAAAATTCTGCATTCAGAATGTCCTTAGTGTGGACAAGAGTATGATTCAGTACCAGTTCTCGCAAAGGCCTAAGTTGTCTTTCTTTGGTATTTTGACAAGGTAATCTTTCTCCCAATCAGTAAGTACCTTTCCTTTCTTCCAAAAGTTTTGCAATAGTGGGCTGAGCATATCCGAGTCTGTGTGTGCTTCAGGAGGAATCCCTCCTCGTTCTTCTGCATTTTGAGCCATCACTAGCTGCAGTGCATTCAAAACTTCTGTTTTTGTGGGGAATCGGTGTTCACTAGCAGTCCTTCGGCTGTTGGTGGCATTTCTTGACGAGTTGCAGATTATGTTTGGTTCAGGAGTTGTTTGAAGTGATAAGCTCCTCTTTGGTAATTAGGTTCCCTTTCCTTGAATAGAGATCTGGTTATCTGATATGGTGTTCTCAGGCCTCTTTTACCTGCTACCTGACTGTTCTGCTTCAGATGCCAGTGTGTCGTAGAATTGTCTTTTGTCTTTCCTAGCACTCAACTTCACTTCTTTATTCGCAGAGATGTAGGTTTAAATCACCTTCTCCTTCTCTTTTCCATCTATGCATTTGTCCATCTTCTGTTTCACTAACCTCCTCTCTTCCATTAGCTTCCAGAAGTCTGTAGAGAGCCATTCCTTGTCTTGTCTCTTATTTCTCCCTAAAACAGCCATATGATCTTTCCGTCGGTGTAAACACGTACTGATAGGCATTCAGGTTTTCATTGCCCGTTCTTGCATTAAACATAATTACTACTGGACAACACACATATTTCTACATAATTTTCAATTTGTCATCGACCAATACTATTAATGACGGTATAAATGAATGTGGTCAAATGTAAGCATATAAATATGTGAATATCTGTGTGTGTTTATCATTAATATCAATAATTATGTCCTAAAATAAGTTACCCATTGAAAATACAAACTGATGAAATTATTAAATCCCTACAGTCAGTTGCATAAATTGATTTAGAGAATAGTGGCTTAGCCTCTAGACAATATTCTCCTAAAAGAAATTATTACTAAGATTATTATTATTATTCCATAAGGTTCCGAGTAGAACGTAGCAACACACATCTGTTTGACTCTGTTCTCTACGGTCCCTTTTGGCTGGCTAGCTATCTCCACGACTGCCTACAAGCCCTGGTCTCATCTTCACATAATCTCTACGTCACACTGATTGGTGTGTGACATCATCCAATGGTTTTTTCAGCGTGTGTCCGATCCACCTCCATTCCCTTCCGCATATTTATTTAGCAACTGGTTCCTGATTGGTTTGTTCCCAGAATTTCCTGTTGCTTATCTTTTCTGGCCGTCCGGTCTTCAGTAGGCAGCGAGGGGAGCTGTTACTGAAAGTGTGCAACCTGTTGGGAATGCCCAAAGAAGGTGTCTGGTAGAAACTGCCCTAATTCTTGACAGACTGAAAAGATGAACAAACTTGATTTCATGTTGATATTCTCATTAGCAATCAAACCTACTGCCAATCAATCTTCAGGTCAGCTGGATGAAATTTTTGATAGTTCAAGAGAAATAAAACATCTGGTTACAATTGGACTATCTTGGGCTGGTTCCATTTGGAAGTTTCTGATATAAACTTCATCGTGGCTTAGATTTTCTCTTTAGTTTCAGTCATTATCCAGTAAGATAAGCATCATTCCCAAGTAGACCTTCTTACAAACACACTTATTAAGTAATCTGATTTGCTTAAACGTGTAGCGTATTTTTGCTTAATCGTATCAGATTCGTATCGATTCAGTGTTCTCAAATAATGAAAGTTTACTAGATATCTCTTCTCAACTAACATTGTACTTAGTTGTTTGGTGTTTAAATTATTGGAATAATGGGATTAGATCCAGTTGGTATGTCACCTTCTGTGACAAATATATATATATGATGTGTTTTTAAAAACTGTATTCTGAGCGAAAATCTGAACAGTAGGTATCAATAATTGTGATTATTATAATGCCAACTGCGACAAAATAACTGCAGTTACAGCGATATTCAAGTACAGAGTAATAACAGAGAATGTTATGAAATAGGTAAAATCGTGCTATGATGCACAGCAATTTGTTTCACCACTCCGTATGCCTGTGAGATGTAGTCATTGAAAGTGATGGACTTGAAGAGGCTTTCTTTCTTTGACCATAGATATTTGCATTCTGGATTTTGTGTTATTCACTATTATATAGTGAGTAACGCTGAAGGTTTAGTGTAAACTGTTAGACAAGGGAAGAAAGTCAACTGACGAGGTTGCGTAGCTTCATCCACTGAAATGGTTAGGACTCGTACTGCTCATAGTGAGTCACCGTTCTCCTTCTTGTCGAGAAATGTCAGCTAACAAGAAATTGAGCTGGAAATGAGTTAACCGTGGTCATTTCAAAGCATAGCACTAATCCATAAATTCTCTGACAGTTGGTTTCAACTATTAGCGGGGTGTGTGTGTGTAGATTGTCTGACTGGTTTCTTTGAGACGCTAAGAATCAAGGGTCAGAGACTGCTGGTGTGATGTGACTAAAAATCGTTCTCATTGATGCAGATACATTCACTCTTTATTATCCACCCCCACATATATTAAGTCCTCAAGATTCTGTAGGCAGTTGTTCTTCTTCCTGTACAC